GCTCGCCATTTCAATACGCCCTGATCTCGTACACTAATCGTATTGAACTTGGTGGCAATAGCTTCAGAACCTTCAATTCCTATAGTGAATGTATCAATAACTTTTCCTCATGTATAGCGGTTCATAAGATATTTCGTTCTAAACACAGGTATAAGGAGTTGACTCGAGTAAAGAGTCTCGGCGCGCTGCGCCCTGTACAGCCGGTTGCCTGTACTTGGCGCGAGACTCGACCGAGTCTCTTGATTGCTTCAGTACTTCCATTGTTTCGATACTGGTAATTAATAATTATACTTAAGAATTTTTATTTTGTATAAACGAGTTAATATACTTGATTCATTTCGACTTACAAATAATTAGCTATTTGGTTAATAAATAAGAGTTATATTTAAATGATCGTTTAATTACCGGAAAATAGGTTGATTCTAGTCCTGCCTCTTTCGGTATCCTCAAATCCTTGTAGATCGTCCTCGTAATCATCATAATCCTCTTTACGATCACGTCTTTCTTCATGATCTTGAAGTAAGTCTGAGTTGAATTTCATCTGGGAGGCTGAACGCACTCTAGCTTGATGGTTAAGACTGAAGAAAACAGAAGGTGGCGGTGGAGTGGATAATTGTGCGCCTTGAAGACGTTTCTGTAGATATCTAGCGAGAAGAACCTGAACCGCATCCGCGTCTCTTGCACCTGGATGACAGGAGAGACGTATTCGTCATTAGCTAATTGACAATATTTTCTATGGGATAATATTTCTTTAATATCTGCATCTTTCCGTTTTGATAATTGCTTGAAATGAATACGTACGGCCAAATGTGAAAACATTGTCATTCGTTAACGCATGAATATTCCGTCTGTCTTTCATTTCTGGGCTCCCTATTTGCTGTACAGCTATGTAGCATAGTTTTGCAGTCAATGTGACAGAGCAGCGAACCACACATGGCAATGCGTAAAAGTTTACAACTGTTTCTCATATTTACCTAATTGTACAGTAATTATATAATTCTTCACATTGTAATATTTTCGATAATGCAATTTCGTATGCTACTTATGAGTGTATGAAATGGGATGTATGTTAATGCTTGGGGCTAGCAATTATAAAAACTTAGGCGACACAGGATTGTATGATAACATAAAACGAAATAAATTTTGTAACGTATTTCCTTAACTTGACCCGACACCGATAGCAAGACATACGGGAACGACTATCTTCGAAAACCAACCTACGTTACCTTCGGCCGTCC